TAAGGAAAAATTCGTCTCGTTCCTCAGCTCAGTTCCTCGCTTCGCCGATCATTCTACAGTTCTTAATATCCATACGTTCTTACACCGGCATGCCGTCATAAGTAGTCTGGCAGCAGCTGATAGCGGTTGAAGTCTCAGTTGAGGAAAAGGCGAGGATCACATGTAAAACGGTAGAAGGGAATACCGTTACGTCTCGCTGGACGCTAGTATGACGCAGTCGTCGCCGCGTCGCCGCTGGTGTTCGTTTGGCTTGCGGCTAACGGCAGTGCGAGCGCGACGAGTTTGCACCGCATCGAGGAAGAACACGGCGGCTCGACGCGTCGCGGGCATCGCAAAAACCTTCTATATCAACATAGGCAGCGGATAAACAACAGAGATCATCGCTGAAGCCGAGACGTTTTACCGGGATTCAAACTTGAAGATGTAAACACGAGTGTTTTTGCAAAGCCAAACTACTGCATTAAACAAACGACGATGTCGGCTACGACGCGACGGTCGTCGGCGAAGGCCACGGCGAGACACATTCTTCTCATTCTTGTCGACGCCAAGTTTCTGCAACGGTTTATTGACCACGTGATCGCCAACCGAGTGCCTTCAGTGGCCGGCCTCAAGAGGCACTAGTTCCGTGACCTCAAGAGGGACCAGTTCGTTATCCACTCCTCACCACTTGCTAATCGGACTAACGCATAGCCTCATCAGCTATGCTTCAGCCTGTACTTCGACCTGCAGTGCCGCGCTTGGCGATGTTCATAGCGATAAGATTTCATGTTTTATTCAGTGTCGTGAAATGCAACTTTCAACAACTCTTGCACAGGTCAGGCAACTTCATCATACGTTTTCATGTCGGAGATGTAGGAATAAAATTCACCAGTATGTCAAAACATATATGGCAATTTTTTAAAAATTTTTGCACGAATCCACTTAGGTATCATAATCATGAATTGTGTTCATACCATTGATTTTAATCATTCCCTCTGACCAGCAGTATGAAGAAGACTGAAGCACTCAAGGTTGTTCTCCATAACTTTACCCAACCTTATCTGGAAGATAAAATAGATGAAGTTTTTATATCATTCATGTGAAGTACTCAGTGCTGTTCAAAGTGTTCAAAATAAATTTGAAGTACACACAAGTACATTTTAGAAGCATTCAAACAACCAACTAGTTACGAGGTACCAAAGTGCAACAGTTGACAACCCGATAATGTTGCATTACCGGTGATTGCGCAAATCACTTGGAAGTCTTAGAAATGTTTCAATGGCAGGAACTTTGACATAAACTTCACTTGTCGATGGATAGCGGAAACAGCTACTTAATTTGCCTACAGTTTAATGTGCACTTTTCCTTTTTGTTTTCTTTGTTGTTCACTTGTTCTGAAAGATATGGCCATCTTCCATATATTCAGGTAGCGAAATATGTAGATTCGTAAACAATTGAAATTACTAGAGATACTGAAATCAAACCTGCTTTCTACGTATTCGCTGTGGCCAGACCTTATCAAAATAATTCTTGAAAACAAATCTTAAGCAATGCTGCTTTGTTACTTTTCATCATTACATTTTCATTTTGAAAGTTCGCATTTTGATTGCCTGCTACCCTTTTCTCAACGTCACACTCGTTTCTCACTTTTCCTCGGCTGAAAATAAAACCCACTGGCTTTCTTACCATAGCGGTTAAAGGAAGCGATCTAGAAACTACGCTGGATAATGTTGACCAGCAACTATTCATCACCTTCCCCTAACTTATTCTTAATTCATTTGAATGAAAACGCCTACCCCTTCGGATATGCCAACTTCTATGAGCAATTACAGTACGCGTGACATAGTTGGTCAAAATATACTAAGTCATAACTTTCGTAATTCCGTCACGCTGAAATTTGCAAAATTTTTGAAATGGTCTGCTCAGGCTACGAATATAAGTGTTGGCGTCTGTCTCTAATAAAATGAACAATGAAAATTACGCTTCACGATCAATTCAAACGACGCTTCAGGAACAACTTCAGAATCATCGAATAGGCCGTAAGAAAACTTCTCAAAAGCATATGGGAGTGAAAACTCGCGGAATTTTGGCCATGCAATTAGAAAGAACGGCGTCCTTCGAGAAAAACTATATTAAAAACATATTGCTACCTTCGTTGTAATCCACTTGCGAGACTAGAAAAACTGAGACCGAGACGATGCTGAACAGATACAGAGGACGTCAAGCAATAAGCAAACCTGCACATAAATTTATGCCATCAGGATGGGAAGAAATGTCAGAAATGGGCACCATGACGTCAT